TGGCCTCCATGATTATGAAAAACAATAATCGGGATAAAGCAGTTAAACTGCATCACACATCTCTCTAAATTCAGTTTGTCAAATTTATAAGGGATTGTTATTTTTATTATTGTCATTTATAAGGGATTTATGAAGCATAAATAGTCCTCACTTTAGATTAGGTCACAAAACTGAATAAAGCTGAGTTAATAAAGCGTTTATTAACCTACACATTAACTATTAGTATATGCCTGAATCATAAGAACTATAAATGTTGATTTGAATAGTTTATTAATCATTTACTAACTCATTCTGAATGATTTTTAAAAAACAATAAACTATGCTTAAATAACTGGTTTGTAAATAATGCAATACTTAATTTAATAATGAAAAATAAATCATTAACAAATTATGAAAGTACAATTATTAGGTACATTTTAAATGTGGTTATAAAAAGGGCCAGACAGAATCTGAGGACGTTTTTGCTATTTCTGCAGAGAATTTTGGTAAAAATTTGTGGATTTCTGCGGAATTAGTTTGGGAGTATCATAACTAAAACCTTAATATATAAAATAAACAAATAATATCTTTTTAACTTTTATTTATTGTTTAAAATGCAAATCCAATTAGATTCACTTTTTTTGGTAAATAAAGCAAGTGTGTCATATAATATATATAATATATAGTAAAACACAGAAAATAATACGGTACACACTGCATTGTACATATATCAGATCAACATTTTCACATTATTCAATAAAATTACTGAAATTAATAAAAAAAACTGAATAAATATAGATTTACACATATTTACTTAAGTAAATAAACAGAATTAATGATGGGCTAAAAATCTGCCGAATTCTGCGCGCGCAGATTCCAGGTGGGCCCAGTTTTAAGTCAAGAATACAGCATTTGTAGCTGCAGTTTTAAACTGCTAACTAGTGTTTATTAATGTTGAATTAATGCTTAACAAATAATTAATTCAATATTTGCTAATTCTTCATAAATGGTTCATAGTGTGTAGTTATTATGAAGTGTTACCTTTTATTCTTGTTTTTAAAACCGTGAAACAGAATTTATGCTGTTCAATGAATGCGCTCTAGGTATGTTTGACCACACAAATGTCAATAGCAAATCTACGCCTTTGCCTTAAGGTCAACTTCACACTTTTTTTTAGATAATCATGCTGACACATACTTCAAAATTTTGCTTTGCAATCTGAAATAATGTGCACTTAGTGGAGAGAGTGAGTGCATCTGATCAATCTTCTCTCTTACCTAATTGGCCGACTTTTGGTCAGCATCCAATTTTTTTACAACAAAGTTAAGGGTATCTTGCTGATCCATTGGAAGTTCAGAGGTGGGATAAGTGTGCATCATCTGGGATTCTTGGACACATGTGTTGGTTTTGTAATTTGAAGCAAAGATGAAACAATGCATATGTAAATACACACAGCAAAAAAATGAGTGTACATTTAACTCAATTTGAGTTTAATTTAACACTCCTTGGGTGTACATATGACTCCCTCCATTTTGGAGTTAAAATAACACTTTCTAAAGTGTAAAATTTGTACACTACACAAAGTGTTTATTTTAACACCATAAGAGTTCATTCTAACATCAAACCGGAGTGGTTGTTACCCTCCAAAGTGTTAATATATAAAATTTGTACATTACTCAGTGTTCATTTTAACACCGTAAGAGTTTATTCTTACATCAAACTAGTGTTTGTTACCCTTTAAAGTGTTAATATACTAAATTTGTACATTACTCAGTGTTCATTTTAACACTGTAAGAGTTTATTCTAACATCAAACCGGAGTGGTTGTTACCCTCCTAAGTGTTAATGTATAAAGTTTGTACATTACTCAGTGTTCATTTTAACACCGTAAGAGTTTATTCTAACATCAAACTAAAGTGTTTGCTACCCTTCAAAGTGTTAATATATAAAATGTGTACATTACTCAGTGTTCATTTCAACACTGTAAGAGTTTATTTTTACATCAAACTGGAGTGCGTGGTACCCTTCAAAGTGTCAATATATTACCTTTATTTCCTAATTATCAATTGGTGGGTGTGACAGATAACAGTGATCAAATATGTTGAAAATTGTTTATTGAATGTTCATTAAACTTTAGAAATATTTTCAATACATTCAACTCTGCATTTAAAAATGCAACGACATTTCAATTTTTTTTTACAAACTTTAGAAAATCTGTTTCCACAAGTGCAAGAAAATAGAATTAACACCTGCACAATAAAAAAGACCATTGTTTAAAAACTCCTTGTTTTGCAAGTCATAGAAATATCATATAACTCATTTTGTAACTCATAGAAATATCATAACACGTTTTTTGTAACTCATAGAAATATCATATAACTTGTTTTGTAACTCGTAGAAAACTCATAAACCTGAGGTTACCTGAAACAACATATACTTATTTCATAAAGTGCAAACATGAAAGTGCCCATAGAAGCAACTAAGCTCATTTCTGCCACAAAAAAAAGGAACAAGCTAAAAACTCACAATTCTGACTTCAATATAAAATCTGTAAATACATTCAGCTTGTGCTAAACAATCAGAAGTTAGTGCAAGCTAATTAAATATTTTCGTGCACAAAACAATGCACTGGAACAATGTACAAATATGGTTCTTCAAATCCATATGATGCCTGTAAGTCAAATGGTCTGAAAAAAGGAAGATCCTCAACTCTTGACAAACCAAAAGTGTTATTTTCTCTTACATGGTATGCATGAAGATGCTCAACAAATCCAAGTGTTTCAAAGTCTTTAGTTACCAAAAGGTTTTGGTCCTCTATGAGAATAATTTCACATATTTTACTGAAAATTGGTAAGTCCTTCTCCATTTTACTGAACACCAGTAGATCATGACGATATTCCGTTCCTGAATATTTCAGCCATGAAGTTACTGTGATCTCACGGTCCAAAAAATGTGGATACATTTTAAGAATAATGTCACGATATGGCAAATCATCAAGGTCTAGAGTTTTTAAAGGTCTATATTCAACATTTTTAACGGGTAAACTTTCCCAATGATACGCAATTGCATATTGGTGTTTTATAGCAAAAGACTTGGTGAGGTTTTTAAAATTTTTTATGCTGTTTTTAAAAAACTTGTGTTTCGCTTCACAACGCATCGACCATACATGTACTAATGGACCAATTTTGCGTATACAATGTGGATAATGTAGCATAAAATGATGCTTGGGAATCAAAGACTTTTGTGGATATAGCTCTTTAAAAAGACTATGATGTTCTAAAATTAGATGTTTCAGATAGTAGGTCATGCCTTCTGTTATCACAGGAGAAAACACTATGTTGATGATCTGTAACAACAATAGTAATAAACGCCAGTAATTATTTTCCTCTTCAATGAGGTCTCCAAATATCAGAGGAATGTTCCGTATTAAACAATGTCTGAATGGCATTTAGACCTATAGAATTAGCTGTCTGCTCTAGATTTAATCTAGTGGGTCGGTTTTTTCTTTCAAGAAAGCCATAATTGAAAGAATAGATTCTGTTACATACGTCTTGTCTTGGTATAATGCCAGAAAGATATTCAAGAAGTAACTTCATTTCAAACTGACCAACACCCTCGAGGATGTCGTGCATTATATCAGGGGAGTAGTTGTCACAAATATGAAAGTATTTTAAGTCATTAAATAGACATGTACGCTTAACCCCAAAAGATGAAGTAATGCTAGGGTCAGCTACCAAATCTGCATAGTGCTGTTCTTGTAACGCTTTGTTTCTTAATGTAATATTAGTGTCGTCTTCACTAAAAACAGACTGAGATGTTTTTTTGTCTACTAAACAGAACCGACAAAAGTAAAGGGCACTAAAAGATTCCATAAAACCAAGAATTGTGTGCATTCCCAGGTTGTCGCCAGTAACCTGTGCAATAGTGCCAAACAAGGGATCTTTGGAGAAAGGAACTGGAATGCCAGAACTTTCAAGGACTTTTAAATCTTCAACAAGGGGCCGCAAAATTGCATCAAATCCATAGTTCTTAATATCCTGTGCATAGAATAATGACAATAAATGTATGTTCATTAAACTTGAATTCATTTTGGGTTGAAAGTTCCTGAGAATAAAGTAAATTACTCCAATTTTATGAATGCCTTGCTTCGAGCCCAGCGGATTAGCAGATTCAAAATCATCATAGTATAACTGTATCTGAAGTGCATTTTTATGTTTACTGTAAAGTGGGTGGTTTTTAAAATAATCCCCATCACAAAAATCTTTATAGACAGATGTACTCACACTTGGACTTGTCATATGTTTACATATATCCGAATTCCTAAATATAAACTGCAATGTGTTCAAAAGGGGAATGTAAATGAACTTGTCGGTTACAGGAACTTGATCATAAGTCCTCGTCACTCGATTCAATCTACTGTCAAATCGTACACCTAGCTTTATCTCAGTAGGATCGACAACAGCCCATTTGTCTTTGAAATATTTTTTCCATTTGTGTTCTGTGTTTAGATTTGTGAATGGATTATTCATACTACTAAAACAGTCATCTACCTGGGATGCTGTTGCAAAATCCTTTGCTGGAAGTAAATTCATTACTTTACTTTTAATATCAGAATGTATTTCATGGACCAGTTCCTCCATGTCCGATATTACAGAAGTTACAACACTGGTCGCTACTCCACTATTTTGCAATCTAGCAACAATAGATGCACACATTTCTTGAGTGTCAATCACCCTCCTTTTATCACCGAGTGGTGTCTCAGGTTGTTGTTCATTATGATTATTTAATTGTGACGGTTCTGTATCTTCAGTCTGATTTTCAGTCTCTGCTTGGTCTAGAAATTCATGTCTATGAACACTACTCAAGTGTTTTCGAAATCCGGCATAAGTCATGAAGCTATGCTTGCAATTGTTCTGTGCACATTTCAAGTTCAATTTTTTCCCAGGATAATAAGCATGAATAAGTTTTAGATGACGAATGAGGTCATTAATTGTTAAATGTACCGCTTTACAAGCAAAACAGCGGAACATTTTCAGTCAGTCAAGAGAGCTAATTCAGAAGTTTGGCTCGTAGGTCCTTTACCCTTGGGGTTTCACGAACTGTGCCACAGCCAATCTTGTAGATTGTTGTCTGAACAAATGTAAACATTGCATTTAAGGAGTGGGGGTATGACACACTAAAAACAAAATACGCTTTAAACAGTTCGTCAAAAGCAGAAAGGGATGACTTTGCCTGACATGGTAGAAGTTTTCCATCCAGAACAATGTAGAACTCATGAATGGCATTCTTTGCAGAGCCAACTGCAAGGAGATGTGGTTGCAGGCCTTCAGTCTTCTCAACATATTCAGTTAGACTGCAACAAGCCTGAAACAGGTGAAAAACAGATTTTCTTACAAACAAGTAACCTACAATACAGCTCACTAATGTTTCCATGCAAACCTTGTGAAACTGCACAACATGATCCATTGCCTCCTTAATGCTGATCTTTGTTGAATTGTTTCTACCACCTGCTGAAGGTGGCAAAAGGAAAGCCAGTAGTAAAAGACAGGACATGTCACTGTCCCATCCTGCAAGCAAGAACAAAGAGAGCATGTAGATCAACAACAAATACAACAATCAAAAACTTACAAATAACAAACCATTTAATACCTTGCCATTCACATTCCAGGTTCTGCCCAGTGCCAGCTGCAAGCAGGCTGTTTAGGTACAAGTTTGAATTAAGCGTTTTCGCCTCTGCGATGATCTTTGGCTTTAAAGTGTCCCATTGTTCTAGTAGTCTGGAAGCGGTTTCAGTTCCAAATTTAATGTCAAAGTCTTGAAGAACCTGTAAAACAATTACAAACATAACAAAAATTCACACCATGCTTTTTGCATATTACCTAATTTTATCTCAACAAAATACTATTATCTGTCTCTTTCTCTTACCAATCCCTTTGTGTCGAGAAATCTTGGAAAAACTGAAAGAGCTGTGCTGGACTTCTCTGCATCATGAATAAGCTGCTGTCTGTGCTTGAATGTTAATTTCATCTTCTCAAAAATCTGGTCCTTGTCAGCACAATGACTCATAAATGATATGGCTTCTTTGCATCGGTCGCCATCGAGCTGCTTTTCCAAATAGTTCCAGTTGGCTCTGTTAGCTGTTGGTCCTCCGTTGCCTTCATCCGATGCTGCACTTGACCTGGCATTTCTTGTGCTCTGGCTTTTGCTTCGGCGTGAAACTGTTTTCAGACGCCATGATATGTATCCTTGATTGCTCTTGGGGTCATAGAAATGTTCCTTAAATAAAAACAAAATGACTGCTGATAAGATCAAATGCAAACATTTTAAATTTCTGATCATGTCACTACACTAGACTAAAAAAATACTGATGAAGAATAAAACAAAATTTATTTAATTCAATTAGGGGAACTAGAAATGTGACATGGTTCCACAAAATCTAAAATGTTTCTATAAGGTACAGTAGAATAATAATAAGTTTTAAATTCTTACATATCCAGTTCTTGAGTATGGATCCTTCAGTGATGGGCAAAGAGTTACAATTCCCAAGGCACAGCGTGTTTTTGTTTCTTTGGAAGGGACACGACTATAAGAACAAGAAAAATAAGTTAAAACACTAAAACAGTTTGATTACAAAAATTGTATCAATGATTTTTAGATTGAAACTTACCCTTCTTTTTCAGTTATGTATGCAACAACGATGTTGACTAACTGTCGCCGGGTTGAATCTGTGAGTTTTCCATGTTCATTATATTCGGCCAAAACGGCAAGTCCACCTGCCTTTTCTTTCAAAATTTCACTGACAAACTACAATAAAAACAAAGTAATAAAATGTCCGCATAATAATGTGAAAAAAACTGCCAAACACTTGAACTAGTACATCATGAAATTTAAAAATTACCTGCTTAGCCTCAAAAGCTTCATCAAAACGAGGTCTCTTCATGCTTGGCTCAGCACGGTCATCAGTTTCAGGGTGGTTTGGGGTGAGAACTAGTGTGTCTGAGTGGGAGCTACAAGAATCGAGGACTGTGCATTCTGAAAGTAATAATAATAATAATATTAAAAAGCATGTTATATGTACTGCATTCTAGTGATGTGCCAAGCAATTTTAAAATTAGATTTGCCCTAAGCCAAACTTCTTAATGTTTAACATCACAAAACCAAAAGGTATGTCAGAGATTTTCAGCATACAACTTTGCATCACATAAAACATGGAATTGGTCTTTTAAACTTGCGAATATAGTAGGCTATCAGTTGTTTTTGACTCAAGAGAGAGCAAAAACAGTATTTAAGATGCTGCTTGCTCCCTCAGTCACAAGTGCAGCCGCCAGTTCACATACAAAACGGATGAAATAAGGCTTCACAAAGTAGGAAAAACCCAGAAGATTAATTTGAAAAAGATACATTAATTTGATTTTAGTAATAGGATTTACTTTTAAATATTAAATTTAGTAGTACATTTCAGTCATGAATGGTTGAATAACTAAGCATTTACACATTTTTAGATAAAACAATTTCACAATTTAAGCACAAGTTAACTGACATATCGTTTTAATGGAACTGTAGCTTGTCGCCACATATGAGGCCAGTTTAAATAATTAAAACAGGGCTCGAAATTGCGACCATTTTGGTCGCATATGCGGCCTAAATTTTATCTATGCAACCTTAAAATATATTTGGGAGGATTTCTGCGAGTGCTTAAAATTGTTGTGTGCGACCAGTTTTTACTGCAAAATGTTCACCACATGCGCGGATTCGGGAGACATTCACGCAGAATGCATCTCTAAGCTCTTTGTCTGCACTTGAAACGCAGCACACAGAAATGGTTTAAAACAATTGTCATGTCGACTTGCTGCAGTAAACAAAGCCAAGTCCGTAATGCTTGCCCCACCTTCACGCTCTTCTTTTTGGCCCACCACTGCTCTAGCACTGAATGCGAATGATTGGTTAATATCAGCTGTCAATCACTCAGTCAGCGCCTTGCCTTCTGGCGTCGGATGAGAGAGCTACTACCGTGAAAAACTGTAAAGCGCTGAAGATGAGAATGAAGATAACACTGGCAGATTTTGTTTTAGAAACCATGGCATCTAAAGTTATAAATGACACATCTTACTAGTGACTATGTGCTGAATGTTAATCCACCATCTACACTTTTCCAAGAGTAGAAGACTTCCATTGGCTTCAAGTCCGCTATGAAAAGTCTGTGGGATGGAGTTTTCAGGTAACTGTTTGCCACATCTAGCACGACAGCTTCTGTTTAATCCTTTATATAAATCGCCAGATGCTGTCCGCCATGCAAGGGGCAGCTATATGTCAAATTTAACACCACGTACACCATCGCAAACGGGCTTGCACCGAGTAAACTAACATCGCTACTCCTAAAAAGACCAGTATTGCTATTAACATGACGTATGCATATAATAAGGTACAGTAAGTGTCAAAAGCATCAGTGCAATATCAGACAGCACTTGTGAGAACAGCACAGTTATACCATTAACAGATTCATTCAAGCAGTGCGTGCAGGGCCAGTGATCGCTCCGTGTATGCTTTTGGTCACTCAGTTATGTTATAAAAATGTATTTTCTTGTGATAACTGGATTTCGTTGAGACATATTTTCCTTACGCTTGCATATCTTATAATTTTTTTTTTTTGCTTGTTAGTTTGATTAGTGTTGATTTCAAATGCAATAAATATGTTTGTATAAAACTTGTAACGGTGCACATAATTGGTGGGTGCGACTAAATTTTGGCTGATGCGCCTAAATTAGGAGCACCGGTGCTACCAAGCAAAAAGGTTAATTTCGAGACCTGTTATAAAGTTAGAAAAAAAGGCAAACAGATGTGGTTTATTAAACATTGAATGCATGGGACCAGAAAGCCCTGCATACAGAAACTTGCCTGAATCTTGGCCAATGACTCTCCAAAGTACATCATGCGATCTCTCCTCCAGCACGTCAGTGAAAACATCTTCATCTACCTCCACACCGGTGTCATCTTGCAAAACCAGATCCTTTTGCTCGATGGAAAATTTCTTCTTGACTTGACGTATTAAAAGAAATAACATTAATTGAAAAAAGACATTCCACCTGCAGCAACAGTCAAAACAAAAATGGAGTCAATTTAAGAACTTACCTTCTTTTATTAGACTGCTGTAATCAACTTCATCTACCTTAATCAACTTCTTTTTGCCTCCATAAATGACTTTGAAGAGCATTGTAGCTAAAGAAAAAAAAACAAGTTTTCGTTTGATTAGGCTTACAGTGTGATTCAAAAGAACACATATTGATAAACCGGTGTTGTGCCGAAATCTGTGACTTGTTGAAAACTGTGACCCGGGTGTGACGTTTAGTAAAATCTTCACTCGGCAAAGTGCATGACGTTCATGCATGTGACTGTGAAAGCGCAGACACAAAAATCAAGCAAATAGCGTCGAGCGGTGATGTAAAGAATGTTTCAAATCCTGGGATTCAGAAAACAGGTTCATGGAAGAATTTTAATGTAGTCGTGATATTTTGTTGTTGTCTGCAGGTAGACTGCTAAAACTAAACATTTAGTTGTGAGATTGAGTTGAAAAAAACAGTTCATTACAAAAGCTAATTACTGAGTGTCACATTTTGTATTAGTAAAATGAATCACCTTTTTAATGACATTCTAATCAATTGACATCCAGATGTATAAAGATATCTGGTCATCAATGTTTTAGAAAACAAATAAATTTGACACAAAATGTCAATTTATTAAACATTATAGTAAGTTTATACAGGGAAAACACTTCTATCTTAATCCTACCTGTATCACATGTAATTTGAACTCAGTAATTGGCATTTGTAATGAACTATAGGATTTTTTCGACTCATGTTTAGTTATAGCAGTCTACCAGCAGACAACAACAAAATATCACGACATTAAAGTTCTTCCATAAACCCGTTTTCTGAATCCCAGAATTTAAAATATCCTTTACAGCACAGCTCGATGCTATTTGCTTGGTTTAGACGTCTGCGCGTTCACAGTCACGTGCATGAGACAAGCACGTTCCCGAGTGAAAATGTTACTGAAGAGCGCGACCTGGTCAAAATTTTCGACGAGTCACAGATTTCATCACAACGCCGGACATCACTAACTTAACGTTATATGGGTTATTCAGTTGAACGGATCGTTAGAGAAAAGGAAAAAAGCTGTAATTCGCCGTTTAAAACGAAGTGCGACCAAAGTGTAACATTAAAGGACGCGCGTTTTCAAAATGCAGCTGCCTCAGGGGCAGTCAACGGCGGGAAACCCCGCAGTGATAGTCACAAACTAATTTTTAAAACACATAACGTTAAATATTTCGTCGCGAGAGGATTAAAACTGTATTAATCTGAAATCATAGCCATTTAACTTATCTTTTCGATATGTTTAGGGTCCACGTGCGAAATAAGCCAATGGCCTTACAACATGCTCAAATGAATTAACGTTAGCTTCGACGCCGTGCGACACTTCTCACAAACATTTACAAATATTTAAACTATTTGCTAAATGTAATTATAACATTAGAGTATTTATTATCGTTGTATCAAACATTTCTTTAGAAAAAAACGGCTAAAACTTACCACTGAACTCGGAGCCTCCAAGCCAGCCTCCGTGGGATCTCCAACTGAAAAGACAGCCGCGGAGCTGAGCATCGTGGGAAATAGTGATGACCGATTCGCGAACGAATCATTCAATTTACCTGGATCGTCCTAGTGAATCAGTTCACCAAGTCCAACTGAATCGTTTGAAACTGTTCACAGTCTCCATTAATCACTAATCACAAATTACTTCAAAATCCTTGCTTTTTAACCGTGCCTGGCACTTTCTCTGATTAAAAAATAAATAAGATAAATTATTTAATTACTAGAACAGCGTATGAACGTGCTTCACTTCATCGGCTTAAAAAAATCCTAAAGAAACAGGTTCTCGTAAGTGTACTGAATGGTTCTAAAACAGTTGCAACGGTTCTCGAACCTTGTTCTCGAGTTAAGAACGGGTTGCAGCTGTTTTGGATCACAAGTACACTGAACCGAGAGCTACGTGAACGAAATGCGGTTTCTTTCGGACCCGTCCGATTTAAGAACCTAAGAGCTAAAACTGTGCGCATGCGTGAAGTGCTGTGACTCCTGAAGCGGCCGAACACATTTAAGCTCATGACCGTTGTCTGAACCAAACTAATTCTTTGGACTATTTTGTGCTAATGCTATTATCATCTTATGAAACATTGATTTATTAAAATAAGATTATTTAATGACAATTTAATATTAATAGAATATGCATGTGCATATAGTTCACTGCTTCTGATGAGAATTAATTTATTATATCATATAATTGATTATATCATCAAGACTCGTAAAACATACTGGTTTGATCACTGTTTGTCCTAAAGAACCGGTTCAAGTAAAAAAAATGGACTTCCCATCACTAATGAGAAATACACTGCATATTGGGTTAAAAGTTTAACACTGGAAAAAAAACTCTTAAATATACGCGTTTTCACACTCGTGGATTAAAATGTACTCCAGTTTTAACACTGAACAACACCAAAAAAAATCACACTGTATATTTAACACTGGAAATTTTGCTGTGCATATAAATGTTCATACGTTGAAAAAAAAACTAAATATTAAAAACTTTCAAAGACTAAAGATGCTAATGACCCTTAAACATGTGAAAAGCATCCATTATTCATGATTATCGACCTTTTACTGTGATAATTGATATCAGCTGTGTGTACCAGCAATAAACAGCTGCATTGCTTAACTAGTTTGGTGTAGGGTCCATTATTTTTGCCTTCTCGTTGATTAGCACCACACTTGTCTCACTTGCAAATGCACAAAACCTTTTTGGTATGCTGAAACATTTTACATACTCAAAATTTAGTGTACTAAAAACAAAAAAATTTGGCAGGGATTTTGTGAGACATTTGAAGTGATTTCGGTTTGAGACAGAGGAGGTCTCATGGGTTGCTGTGATAGTTGGGGCTTGTCGCAAACTGAAGAGCGGGGTGGTGGTGGTGGTGGTGGTGGGGGGTGTTGGTTGGGGGGTCGGGGGAAATGGGGGCGTAGGGATGGGTGGAGCGGGGGCAATTCATGTGCACTGCACAGGTTGAGCTCTATGTGTGCACGTGCTTGTAGTCAATGTTAATGCTTGAAAGAATAAAAGACTTAGATGTATAGGAAGTACAGGCGTTTGTAGATACCACAAATGCTGAGGGGTGGGACATGTACGTAAGTATTTACAGCCTTTGCTCAGTAATTTGTCAATGCACCCTTGGCAGCAGTTACAGCCTCAAGTCTTTTTGAATATAATGCCACAGGCTTAGCACACGTCTTTGGGAATTTTTTTTTTTTGCCCATTCCTCTCAATCTCTATCATTTTGGATTGGAAGCGACAGTGTACAGCTATTTTCAGATCTCTCCAGAGATGTTCAATAGGATTTAAATCTGGGGTCTAGCTGTGCCACTTAAGGACATTCACAGAGTTGTTGTGAAGCCACTCCATTGATATTTTGGCGGTGTGCTTTGGGCCATTGTCCTGCTGGAAGATGAACCATCGCCCCAGTCTGAGGTCACGAGCACTCTGAAGCAGGTGTGTATTTAGGAACTTTGGAACTTTCAGCGCAGCAGAAAGTTTTCTGTAGCCTTCCCCAGCCTACACACAATTCCTTTGTCTCCATGCTTGGTTTGTGCTTTGACATGCACTGTCAACCCTGGGACCCTATATAGACAAGTATATGCTTTTTAAAATCATGTCCAATCAACTGAATTTACCATAGGTGCACTAAAATTAAGGTGCTGAATAATCTCAAGAATGATCAGTGGAAACAGAATGTGCCTGAGCTCAATTTAGAGCTTCAGAGTAAAGGCAGTGAATACTTATGTACATGTGATTTTTCAGGTTTTTTATTTTTAATAAATTTGCAACAATTTAAAAAAAAATATATATTTTTTTACAATGACATTACAGGATACTGTGTGTAGAGTTTTGAGGAAATAAATTAATTGAATCAATTTTGGAATAAGACTGTAACATAAAAAATGTGGAAAAAGGATGCACTGTACATGTCTACAACAGTTCAAATTATCCTAATTACTTTTGCAGCTTTGCTTTTGTGGGAAAATAATGTAATGATTTATGTTTGTATAATTTGTCAAAATGGAAAAATTAGACAGAACGTCATTTTAACAGTTGCAAAATGTTTGTTAAAACGCAACTTCACTTTGTACAAAAAATAGTAATGTCTAATAATTGCAATGTTTGGAGCGAGTTAATGAAACAATTCTAGATTGTTTGTATCAATACTGTGTGTGATAAGAAATGGGAACAATACAACGTAACCAGAGCTGTTACACTATGTAAATTTCATGTTTTATATTGGCTTAAGTAAAGTGCCCACAGTACTATTTGCAATGATACTGTGTGTTCTGGGAAGTAGGAACAATCCAATGTAACTAGAGTTGCAACACTATGCTTTTTATCATGTATTACCTATCATAAATGAAGGATCTTATTGGATCATGCATTTACTGTAAATGGTGGTTGGTTAAGTCCAATTACAGGAACAGGGCATTCCAATCCATGTTTGACTATAGAAACTATTGCATATAAATTAACTCATTTACAATGGGAGAATTATAGACCACTGCTCATGATAGTTAGTGTCTGTCTTTAAAGGTTCCCACCCATGAAGATTAGCACCACACTTGTCCTACTTTCATAAACACAAACGCCAACGAAAACTTTTTTGGTACTAAAAATTTGGGGCATTTTCAAAACAATTACAACTTTAACATGGTCTAAATTAACGGCAACTTTTATTAGCATTTTGCGCTTTACTAAAGGCCCAGTTTTCTTAAAAAAAAAAACAAAACACTTAATAATCAAAAAAAAAAAAAAAAACTAAATAAAATAATCACTAAAAGTAAACCTTCTTCATGGCACCATAAGAACTATTTATATATATAAAAAAAACTATTACAGTTCATCATGTGGCACGTGAAGCTGTCTTCCATAATCTGTCACTTCACTGTGCATGAATGTGTCTTGGTTTTTTAAAATCTCTGTCTCTGAGAGCCGATTATCCCCGTCTTGGTCCATTTCCTTAATTAGATGAAGGGCCTGTATTTATTTACAAAAAAAAAAAAAAAAAAAAAAAAAACAACAATTAGAATTCTATTTGCTAAAGATGAAATAAAGTACATTAGCAGACTGATGGGACATTGACTGACTTCTTCTCTTGCAGAGCCATAGCTGTTTGGAGCGACCCAGCGCAGCTGTTCATCCCTGTTGAGTTTTCCATCTTGATCCTGGTCATAGAGATCTTTAAAGCGCACCGTCTCTTCAATCTCCCACTGCGACGGCTCGTCCTGCTCTTAAACACACACAAGCAGACTTATTCATGCATCATCATTGCTGAATGTTTCTCTCTCATTTTTGGGGTGCTTTTTTCCAAAGGTGTTTTGCTGTAGTACTTTTCCACTAAATACAATGTAAATGTTGGTGTTCTACAGCCATTTGCAAGGTCAAAAGTCTTTAATCGCCAGCTGCCACAAATACATGATAGCTATCATCTGTAGGTGTTTTACTACATCCAAAAAAAACTATAGACTTTATGACATGACAATAAATGACAATGTATAAATGATATATATTAGCCCTTCAGAATTATTAGTCCTCCTGAATTATTAGCTCCCTTGTATATTTTTCATTCTGCATTATATTTTTCCCCAATACAAGATGACAGTACATAATATTTTACTACATATTTTTAAGATACTAGTATTCAGCTTGAAGTGCAATTTAAAGGCTGAACTAGGTTAATTTGGTTAACTACGCAAGTCAGGTTAATTAGCCAAATCATTGTATAACAGTGGTTTGTTCTGTAGACTATCAGAAAAAAAGCTTAAGGGGGCTAATAATATTGACTACTGTTAGACTCCCCAGAAAACCATAAAGCACTGTTTATTTATTTATTTTTGTTTGTAACTTATTATAATTTATGCAGATGCACTGCATAGAAAAAGACTTGATCATCCAAGTTGATAAAAATAAAATAAATCTTTCCAAATAAAGTTATTTAAATCATCTGGTGAAATTGTATTCAATTCTGTAACTGCACATTGTCAGCTTTAATTCGAAGGTATTTACATCCAAATCAGGTGAACGGTGTAGGAATTACAACAGTTTGCATATGTGCCTCCCACTTGCTAAGGCTCCAAAACTACTTGGACAGAACAATAATCATAAATCAAACGTTCAATTTTAAATACTTGGTTGCAAATCCTTTCCAGTCAATTACAGCCTAAGGTTTGGAAAGCATAGACCTCACCAGATGCTGGGTTTCATTCCTGGTGATGCACTGCCAGGTCTCTACAGCAACTGTCTTTAGTTCTTGCTTGTTCTTGTGGCATTTTTCCTTCAGTTTTGTCTTCAGCAAGTGAAATGGATGATTCTGGTCAGGTGATTTGACTTGGCCTTTGCATTACATTCCACTTCTTTCCCTTCAAAACCTCTTTGGTTGCTTTTGCAGTATGCTTTGGGTCATTTTCCATCTGCACTGTGAAGCACCATCCTGAAATACGTCACAATTTATCCTGCTGCTTTTGTCAGCAGTCACATCATCAATAAAAACAAGAGAACCAGTTCTATTGACAGCCATACATGCCCACGCCATGTCAGTACTACCACCATGCTTCACTGCTTAGTATCATGAGCAGTTGCTTTTCTTCTCCACACATTTCCAATCACTCTGGTACAAGTTGATCTTGATCTCACCTGTCCATAGGATGTTGTTCCAGCACTGTGAAGGCTTTTTTTAGAATTCTAGTCTGGCATTTCTATTTTTGAGGCTCACCAATGGTTTACATCTTGTGGTGAACCCTCTGTATTCTATCTGGTGTAGTTTTCTCTTGATTGTTGACTTTGACACACATACACCCACCTCCTGGAGAGTGTTCTTAATCTGTCCAACTGTTGTGAAGCGTGCTTTCTTCACAAGGGAAATAACTATTTGGTCAAGTATTTAGGAAGCCAATTGTCCAATTACTTTTGAACCCTTAACAAGTGGGAGGCACATATGCAAACTGTTGTAATTCCGACACCGTTCACCTGATTTGAATGTAAATACCCTCAAATTAAACATGACAGTCTGCAGTTAAAGCACATCTTGTTTGCTTCATTTCAAATGCATTGAGTGGGTGTATACAGCCAAAAATGTTAGAATTGTGTCGATGTCCAAGTATTTATGAACCTAACTCTATATGTTCAGTTACATCTAGAAGCTAACATCTTTTGTTACGGGGCAAAAATGCAGTAGATTAGACACTTTTTCGCGAACACTCCTTTACAACTAATAGATAAAATAAATAAAAAAAAACTGCTAAACTAACCTAGACTTGGAATCTACATTTTTCTGCTCTCTGGTGATTTGAAGTGTTTCTTTTATTCTCATTTGTAAGTCACTTTCAAAAGCGTCTGCTAAATGAAAGATGTATATAAATTTTTAATGAATCAAAGTGCTAAATGGTGAAATATGGGTAAAATATAACATTATACTGTAATCCACATTATACTGGAACCATTTTCATTGTGTAGCAGTATTGGTCAATATTTAACTGTGCATGCTCAATTTCATTAATCATTTATTAATACCGTCAACCATAAATGTATTACTGTTAAACACTTCTCTAAATGAATAGGCATTTCTCATCCCTAAATTCATGTGTAGTGTTTAAAGTGAGTGTAATATTTCCTTTTTACTATAATATTATTAGTACTATTAGTTAGACAGTTTAGTGAAAATTTATATTAGCCATTTACTTGTTACCAAATATATTTTTGAAGAGTAAGTACAAAACAAGAATATTGGGAATCTTTTTTTTAATTACCTCAATACCTGCAATCAAACTATCCAATCAAAATTGAAATTAGCAGTATAATGATTTACTACATTGATTACTATTGATCACATGATATTCATACCATTTGTTCTGAGATCTCCAATGAATTCACTCAAGCTGATGAATCCATCTTTATCCAAGTCATATTCAGAAAGCACATCTTCAATGGCAAAATCCTGGAGAAGATGCCAACACACATGCATAAATATTTCATCTGTACTCATATTTTTGATTTACTCCAATGCTAATTTACACCTACAGCCATGTGGTCCACCTCAGATGGATGAGTAAATGCAAGGAACTCTGTTAGATTCAGACCAGCTGATCCATCCATGTTGGCAAAGTCAAAACGTCTTTTTTCCTTTGCGTGGAGCTATGAGTGAATTAGATTTATAATATTAAATAAATAAATAAATTAATTAATTAATTAAATTAAAAAAGCTTTCAGTGCTTTTCCACACTGAAATGATTTTAAGATATAATTTAACATACAAATCTGAGAGACTCTTCCTCTGGGTCTTCAAGTACAGCGTCTGCATCCACTTCCACAGTATGACCGTGCATGACCATATTATATTCATCCCAAGATACCAAGCCATCATTGTTGGAGTCAAACTCTGGAAAGCGTTCCTCAGCATCGTCCAGCGCATATTTTCTGTACACCCTCTGTATCCATACTGTGATCTCCTCTAGAAAAGATGCATAAAAGGTTTTTGTTGTTGTTGCTGTTAGAACACACAATATTAATAACAGTTATTTTTTAATTCATATATTTATTTCACAGTACATTGGTGGTATTGCAATATATTTATTATTTTGAGCAATATAATTATTTTAACAAAAATCATCATTAAACTATACTATTAAAAATAAGAATGTGGCCCACTATTATTATTATTAATAATAATAATATTAGAAAAAAATGGGGTGTATTTAACAAATTTTACTAACTAAATTTTAATTTTATAATAAAACGGCAATAATCTGTTTTATTTTCAGAGTATATACAGGAAACAGAGAGTGAAATTCAATTCCTTTTAAGACCTTTTATAAGACTCTTCCATACATTTTAAAACCTTAAAACCACTTTAGGTTTCAACCGGAAACACATGGTGAGATTTTAACTTACACTACATTTACTAAATATTAATGTAAGAAACTAATCCAAGACTAAAACAATAGCCCCTTTCACACAGTGATAACGGAAAATATCCGGAAAATTTACGGAACGACTTTACCGGTATGTTCAAAAAAGCGCTGTTCACACAGGCGAGGACGTTACGGAAATTTTCCGGAAAAGAGCATTCACACATCCATTCCAAAATACCGGTAAATTCTGACATCATTCACCACAAATGAGCTTTAAACGGCTGCGCTTGTATTTGTAAACATTTGACTAAATTACAAACTCTTTTGATGATCAATATTGTAAACAACTTTCACAGGATCATATTCGCATGTCGAGATGTTCATAATATGTGCGCGTGCTGCCGCTCACAGGCTGTTTCATGGGCACACGCAAAGCTTGAAGGTAAACAAACAAAGGCTTATCATAAGCATCTTATCGATGATTATTTGCACAGTTGGCATTAAGGAGAACATATAAACGTTATCTGACTAACTTCTAGCAGCTAAATGCGTCTGGAAAAATATTCAAAGGCTTTTATTCTCACAAACCGCGCGGACGTAAATGCGTCTGACTGTTGTGATTGGCTAAAGCAGAAGTCTTACGTCAGCACGTTCTAGACGTGCACGCGCTTATTCCGGAAATCTTCCTTCTGCGTTCACACAGCGCAGCATTCCGGCAAATTGCCGGTAATGTTACAACTTCTCTTTCCGGAAAATAGCCAGAACGAATTTAACGGTATTTTCAAAAAGGACCTGTTCACACATACAACCTTTCCGGAAAATTGCCGGTAATTTTCCGGAAAGGTCTGTATGTGTGAAAGGGGCTAATATTTATACACTGAATAAAAATCTATCACGTCTAGCTAATTTAGCAGGTTGACACCTATAGAACTGCAGAAATAATGGTGTTGCCATGGTTACTGCAGTAAACAAAACAGCATGATGTCAAATCTAGCAGGATTTGACACGAGTCCAAATGCACAGGTTAACATGAGTCTACAACTATGAAAAAACATGGTTTGACCAACTGATGAAATATTGTTTTGTCATTCAGAGCTATTGTGAGAAAATATTAGCAGGAGAGTTTGTATAAACATGGTAACGCGAGTACATGGAAACAACATATTAACATGTGCCTATGGAAACAAATTAACATGAGTCCACAACCACGGCAAAGCATATTTTGACTAATAAAAATATAAAAAAAGACCATTTCATATGTAGTCCTGAATAGCTCAGTTAGATTACACTGATTAATACTCATGCTAAACCTTTTGACTAAACGAGTTCTAATCCCGTTGATGACATGTAAATTATAATTATTTTGAGATTAATTTTGGTTATATAATGTTCTGCTAAACAAATATCAAAATCAATAATGTTTACAATGACACTGACACCAAGGATTAAGAATCTTTATTTGGTATGGGCAAGTATTGTTGCTGTGTAAAAGTGACGAATCTGCAAATCTGCAATCGTGAATAGGTTACATCTGGAAACAGACACCAGTTAACATGGTCACCAGTTACACCGTAACACCGGCGCTCATTTGAACAGAGTGCTGTCAACTCAAAACGAATATTGCTATTCGAAAAAGTAAAAACACTTTAATACTTAAGCACGTTAACAAGATCTAGGTATAAGCCGGTAGATTCATAAATATACACAGGCCACTTTCCTTTAAATACAAAAAAGATTTTATTGACTACAAACAAAACTAAAACGAGCACTCATACGCACACATATTCATATCGGTTTCAGACAAGTAATAAAAGAAAAAGAAGAGTTTAGGAGAGATGTGATGTAAAACCTAACCAAGTGTTTCAGACAGAGTAATTTATCATTTAACATTGCTAGTTCAGCAATGGATCTGGGGATGTAGTTGCGTTCCTTTGTGATGTGGTGAAATCCCTCTGTGTTGCTGAATTCCCACGTGAGTTTGCTGGTGGTTGGTTGATCGTTAAAGGGACGTATCTGAGGCTGCTTATGAAGTAAAGTCCGGTAGTTTAAGTTTGAGATGGGAAAAACTGCAGTCGTGTTGACTGGTTTCATGGCGCAACCTAACTTCCTTAACTCGATGGAAAACAAAAGAAGAGTATACGGAAGATGGGGAGTTTGAGTTTGAGGCTGGTCTCATCCCACTTTAGTGTCCATGTCTGGCTGGAATGGACCTGGAAAAGAGTTCTCCTGGAAGCGGAGCATCTCAACTCCTCAACAGTTGCTGCTGGTGGTTGCTTCACTGTTGGACTGGACTAGACTAGAGTTTTGGGGTGATTGGTTTTAACCATCAATGTTTCCGTTCCCTGATAGAACAGGTTCAGTTAGGCATTGTCCACGGATCTGTGTGACAGTCCCATGTCAGCATATGCAGTTTTGGTGTGACTCACTTACATGAGCCATGGTGCTTAGAAATATAGTGTTAGGCATACATTTATAATACAAACATAATACATTTTACATATCTATAATTAAAAGAAATGGAAGAAAGGGAAAGGGTTTCACTCATTCATCTCAAATAACATACACATAAGGGTACATTTGTGATAAATCAAAGCATAATGGTTACGCATGATTAATGCATCGTTAACATATACAGGATTCAGAAGTCAAACAATAGAGCAATAAAATGACATTTGTTAAAAGTACGCTATCATTGTTTTGAGGATGATTTGATGAACTTTAATGTTTGGTGAGAATTTCACATTTTATAAAGGATTTGAGTTTTCTGTTTATGACCAAAGTCTGTCAATTTTCTGTCTTGCATGGGAGTTGAATACCCCATTTTCTGAGGTCAAACATAAGCTCTTTGTCAAGAAAAGGGTTCTTAAGATCAGTTACCCATTCATCTTAAGCTAACTTGATCAGGATAGTGAGTCCGATAATTGATGATGAACCAATCATGAGGGCAATAGCCTCAAGACATCCACTTCCTGTTCTGTACTGCAACAAATGTGGTCTGACCTTTGGTCAGACACCAAAATGGCTCTTGATCAAGGTGATTCTGATCGCAGGTGTCGACTCGGTTATGAGTCTGAAAAATGAGCTTCCATGTAGTGTGTAACACAGATCTAAGTGAAGTTTAATATCCAGCTAAGACTTAAATTTGAAAGTGGACAGTTTTTAAAACTATTGGTTCATCTAAAAAAATAAGAGTCGACTCATAGTGGTTAGAATGAATCGTCTTCATAACAAGTCTTTAGCCGTTTCGGCGTGACGTGACTACGAAACATAGTTGTTATGGGCGCAAACCCGGGAAAAATTAAACCTGCGCCCCGCCCCGCCCACTAACACAGCCGCGAAGACAAACAGATCCTGAAGTCATAAGTCAAAAAGACGCTGTGCTTACCTGGATATTATTGGAAGTGTGAGGGGAAATAATTGATTCAGCGGTCTACACGCTTACAGTTAGGGCTATGCAATAAATCGAAAATCCGATTTCGATTTTGGCTTTTAACGATTATGAAAATCCATTAATCGAGATAAACGATTATTCCATCACGTACCGCCCCCTATCCAGTTGTACACGTGATTTATGTCCCTTTTAAAAGTAGGGATAAAAAGGGGCTTGACTCCCTTATGAGATGTCTAGTCGAGGTTAAGAGCTGGCTTTCGTCAAATTTCAATGAAGAAAAAACTGAGCTGGTCTGGTTTGGCAATCCTAACCCTCTGCATTTGTCAGGTTTTGGTGAGCTTATTAGGTTGTTAGAAACTTAGGATTTCAATTTGACAGTGATCTGAAATTTAACAAACAAGTAAATACAGTTGTTAAATCCAGTTTTTTACATTTACGACTTGTGGCAAAAGTAAAGTCGTTTCTCTCTTTAAATGACCTTGAGAAGGTGATCCATGCTTTTATTTTGGGAAGACTTGACTATTGCAATTCTCTGTATGTGGGTATTAGTCAAAATGCCCTAAACAGATTGCAATTAGTACAAAATGCGGCTGCGAGACTTCTGACAGGGACTGGCAAGTTCGAGCACATATCCCCAGTTCTTTCCTCTCTGGGCTGGCTACCTGTTAGGTCAAGGATTGATTTTAAACTATTAATCTTTGTTTTTAAATCCTTAAACAATCTGGCACCATCTTACTTATCAGACCTGCTACATGTATACAATCCTGGTAGGTCACTGAGGTCTTCTGATGAATTTATTCTATCTACCGTATACCAAGGTCCCGGTGTAAGAGAAGTGGGGATCGGGCTTTTGCTGTTGTCGCCCCAAAACTCTGGAACGGGCTTCCGCCCCACATCAGACATGCTCCAACTCTACCTGTTTTTAAAAAGCTTTTTAAATGTTTTTAAATGTTTGAAACACCATCTTTGTTCTTTAGTATTTGAGCCTTTTTAATGTTGAGGGGTTTGCCTTATGTTTTAATTGTTATTTATGTGATGTAGATTTTATTTTTAGTATTAATTGTGTTCAGCACTTTGGGTTGTAAAAAATGTGCTATATAAATAAACTAAACTAAAATAACCGCGTGGCTGGGGATGGGATCTTTGGGCAAAGCAGAGTGCAGGTAAGCCCTGAGAACATACAACACTTCACGCAAGAGGTGCCACAGCAATAATTGCAAATACAAATTATCTAAGTTACAGCTGAGAAGGCAGAAAAGCTCAGTCACGGAAATCAAGCTCAGTAAATGATGTGCATGATATCGGTTTCATTTTCACTGCTAAGTGCCGTTCATACTTCCCGTGCAGGGGGTTATGACGGTCACGGGGTTATCGCACAGGCCCGTCCGCCGGGGGCTTGACAAACCGCGCTGGGCATTTGTCTTGCGCTGGGCATTTGTCTAACGCTGGGCATTTGTCTCACGCTGGGCATTTGTCTAGCACTGGGTATTTGTCTAACGCTGGGCATTTGTCTCATGCTGGGCATTTGTCTAGCACTGGGTATTTGTCTAGCGCTGAACGCTGTCGACCAATCCCAACAGGCTGTCATCGGTCCAATCAGCGCAGATTAACTTACAATCACGGTCCAAAAACAAGTACAGCCTAATGTATGTTACAGAAAAAAATTACACACAAATTTAAAAAGAAAAATCAAGAGAAGAATATTTTTTTTCCTTGAAATTTTGTAGGTTGTATTTTTTTTTTTTTGCAATATTTAGCTTGAATTTAATTGTATTATCTTTCAATTTCTAAATATGTTTGGTGACTAAAATATTATTTTAATAAAAATGTCTTTTTAATAAATTTGTTTGGTTTAAATGCACCAAAATACATTGCCTATATTCACTAAGAAATGGAGAAAAAAAAATATTTTCAAAATAGGGTGAACTCAGTTATGCTGAGCACTGTATATATACATACACACATTTTAAATTGCAATCAGTAACACTGCATTTTTGACTAAATAAATGCAACTGTGATAAGTGGAAAATTAAAATATATTTAAAAAAAAAACATTGAAGCAAAACTTGAAAGCACAGATCAGGCATGTTTCATGTGTATGTGTGAATAAACATATCAAGTGATGCAGATTGCAGAACTGACCTGGAGTCAGATATTTATCAGAGTTGGTGTCAATCTTCTTCACTATCTCCACTAGCCGCTTGCGCTGCTCAGATGGACTGAGTTTCTGTATTTCATCTTTGTCCTGAAAGTCAGTAATAGGCAGCTTGTGAATTAAACTGTATCACTTAATATAAAGTTATGAAGAATCATAGAGAGATGGTACTGTACCTCAGAGCCAAGGAATGTATTTGCATTATGTTCATGGTTATGTTTGAACACATGATCCTCTCTGTTTCCAACAGCTCCTGATACATAAGCCACCAGCAATAAGAGAAAGGTGTATCTGATCTTTAAACCTGATGAACACAAACACAAAGCAAACGTTAAAACGATGACCCCGAGAGCCCTCTTGTGATAATTATTACACATTTTCATGTTAACGATACTGACGGTAAGTGCAGTCTATAAAAACAATTCACATATCCATAACACATCCATCTTTCCTTTTAGGGAATGTCGATTATTTGCTAATCTGCTGTTGTTGTGGGAAGACTAAGAATGTTTCTGAATTGAAAATGCACGAAACACGTCCAAATAGCGTAAAGCTAACAGCTAATTGTCTGTTTACTTTAGGCAACTGCAAGAATAGCTAATTAAATGTGTTTAAGGAGCAAAACTCTTACTTTTGAAAGGTGGATTGCTCAAGTTTTCAGCTGAGCTTGTTGCCATGGTGCACATCGGTCATCTTCTGGACTCTCTTCTGCGCTTCGGTCATCTAACGTTACTGGACATGTGTTACTGCCGCTTGCAGGACTGGAGGAGTCAGAGTCTCTTTAGTAGGTGAATCAGGGACCATTGTTTCTTAAAGGAAAATAGTTTTTTGAAAATAGGCTCACTTTGCAACTCCTCTAAAGTTAAACAGATTTTTAGCTCAGCTTTTTGGTTTTTAGCTTAGTATAGTTTCAGTGAATTGGATTAGATCATTAGCATATCACTCAAAAATGACCAAAGAGTTTCAATCCTTTTTCTATTTAAAGCTTGACTTTTTTGTAGTTATATTGTGTGTGCTAAATCCTACAGAAATCGAAGATTTGCTTTTTTCTATTTTCATTCTGGCATAATAATCAAGGCTGTTTGCTACCGTACCATGGTTGCAGCTGGTGCAATGAATATGCTTTACCTAAAAAGGCACTTTGATATTAAGCAGCACCTGAAGATAGTGCTCAGCTTGGTAAAAGTGTTTTTTTTTATTATACAAATCCTAATACAGATTATTAAATACTTATAAAAATAATCCAATATTTGATTAAAAGAAATGGGTAAAATATGAAAATATATATTTAAATAATTAACTAAAAAATGCAATTTAAATGAATAAACTAAACAATTGTATTATAAAATAATACAATTGGGTAATCATGTAATTATTACAATTTAAAAAAAAATTTGTTTAAAACTTTTATTTAAATTCAGCCTTCAGAAATAAAAATGTAATTAAAATAATAATAAATTAAATAAATAAATAAAATTAATAATAATCAAATAATAATAATCAAATAATTTTATAAACCATTAAGATGTTTTTTTAATTACCTTTAATTCCAATAAAATATAATGGTTTCATTACCTTGACTTATTTTAATTTTAGTTTATAATAGTTTTATTAGATTTTTTATTATTCTGTAATAATTATTTCATAACATGATCATTATTTCATTATAATAGGTATAATCAATTTCCTTAGGGAGCAGCTCGAAATGAAAAGCATCAGTTTGCAAAAGCAAAAGTTTGGGGTCAGTTTTTTTTTTTACATATTTTTTTAAAGAATCTAAAAAAAATTTCAATATGTATTACAATTTTAAATAACAGCTTTGTTATTGTAGGTACTTTCAGATGAAATTATTACTCCAGTTAGTAGGTTAACACGCGGGCCCACCATACTGTAAGGGGCTTTTTTTTTTTTTTTTCGAGATGCAGTGCTTAGTAGTCCAGTGAGAGAGACCTCTACTGGCCAGTGGGGTGAATGGCTGGGATTGAGTCAGTGACAATATATATATATGTATATATATATATATATATATCAGGGCCGGAGTGGGACTCCTTTTCAGCCCTGGAGTTTCAAGCCTCAGACCGGCTTAGTTCACGACTGACTATATTAAAATAAGATCATTTCCAATTCAGTTTCTAATTACACTTTCACGTCTTTTTTTGAGAAAACAGCTGCTTTAGAACTTCAAATGTTCAACAACCCTAACAGTATTATGTCTTAACAATAAAAATGAAAAAAATAAAAAAATACTCAGACGAGGATCAAACCTGGGTCCGCAGTATCGCAACCTAACGTGCTTACCACTGAACCACAACAGCTGTACATTAGAAGGTGGCTCGTCTAAGTTATATCATCATTAACCAAGGTGCGAGAAAATAGATAAAAAGAGCAGAGCTGCGGTAAAATAATGAATAAGAAGACTGTGGTCAAGTAAAAAAAATAATTAATTTAAAAAGTGTGGCTGCTGAGAGCAACAGATTCTGGAGCTAGGGACACCGGCCCTCGCAGCCAAAAAACGGACTGGCCCACCGGGAATTCTCCCGGTCCTCCCGATTAGCCAATCCGGGCCTGATATATATATATATATATATATATATATATATATATATATATATATATATATATTTGTGTGTGTGTGTATATAAAAATGTGTACTGCGTATGTTTGCATATACAACTATAAATAAACAAAAAAAAAACACATGTGTGTACTCCGTATATGTTAATAACTATAACACAAATTCTGTACATAAATTATACAAAAGACATTTACAATACTATCATATATGTGATTACAATGTTGTAACAATGTAATTATAAAGTTATAACAAAGTTATTACATAGCAACAACATTGTAATTACAATGTTAATACAGTGTAATAACATAGTAATTATAATATAATTACAATGTTACATCCAAAATGAAAGTTTGTAGATACATATGTACTGAGTATAGTTACATATAAATACAAATATACAAAGAAACATTTAAGTTTATAAATATTATCTTGGATCTAATTACAATGTAAAAGCGATGTAAATACATTGTAATGACATAGTAAAAAATATTGTAATTACATATTTGCTGTGTATTTCCACGTATACAACTATAAAGAACCAAATACTGTACATGTAATATACAAAAAAACATTGACATTTATAATATTATCTTGGATGTAATAACAATGTAATGACAAATTAAACGCAAAATAAAAGTTTGTAATTACAATTTTATAACATTGCAATTACAATGTCGTCCAAGATAAAAGTTTGTAATTGCATATTACATGTGTACTGTGTTTACCTATAACACAAATACTGTACATAAAATATACAAAAACACATTTGCAATACTATCATTTATGTAATTGCAATGCTATAACAATGTCATTACATTTTAATGCTGTTATAACATTGCAACTACAATGTAATAACATTCAAAGTATAATGTTATTACATGGCCATTATAACGTAATGAAAATGTAATTACATCCAAAATAAAAGTTTTTAATTACATATGTACTGTGTATATTTACATGTAAATACACATATACTGTATATTTTATAAATATCATCTTGGTTGTAATTACAATGTAAAAAGCAATGTAATTACAATCTAATGACATAGTACTTAGGTTTGTACTTACATGTGTACTGTGTATATTTATGTATACAACTATAAATAACCAAAAACTACATGCAATATACAAAGAAACCTTTACATTTTTAAATAATATCTTGAGGGGCGACGCAGTGGTGCAGTAGGTAGTGCTGTCACCTCACAGCAAGAAAGTCGCTGGTTCAAGCCTTGGCTCAGTGTGGTTTGATTACAATATAACAGCCCAGTAATTACATACAAGATAAAAGTTCCTAATTACATATTACATACAATTGTACAGTTTTCATTTAGGTATAAACTATAAATAAACATTGTACATAAAATATACAAAGAAACACATCGATAAACATGATCTGGAATGCAATTACAATGTAATAGGAATGTAATTACATTCAAGATAATAGTTTGTAATTACATGTGTATTGTGTATATTTACATAAATAACTATAAATCACAAATACAGTACATGAAATATACAAAGAAACATGTTTATAAATATTATCTTGGATGTAACTATAATGTATTTGTAATGTAATTACAATGTAATGACAGTAATTGTACAAACATGTTTATGAATTAAAATTAATGTAATTACATATTACATACATGTGTACTGTGCATATTTAAGTATAAAACTATGAATACACACGGTACATGAAATATACAAACACGTTCCTAAATCTTGAATGTAGTTACAATGTAATCACAATGCAATGACATAGTAATTACATCCAACATAAAAGTTTATAATTTCATATTACATGTGTACTGTGTATATGTATATACCTATAACACACAAATACTGAAATGAAATATACAAAAACACATTTAAAATGCTATCATGGAAGTACTTACAATGTTAAAAAATGTAGTTACAATGTTATTACATTGTTTGTACATAGTAAACATAATGTACTTATAATTGTTAAATCCAAAATGAAAGTTTGTAATTGTAGTTACATTGGCATAAACCATAACTACATTGTTTTATCACTGTCATTACACTGTTAAAACATTGTAGTTACAGTGTTATTACATTGTAATTGCATTGATATAATACTGTAGTTCCAATGTTATAACAATGTAAATACTGTGTTATAACAATGTAGTTACCGTATAATGTATGGAACTAAATTAATGCCAAAAGTATTGAATTAAAAAGCTTGTTGAACAGTACAAACTGAAAAAAATAATACACCAAAATTGCTTGATTTCCAGGTTTTGTACCGATTTTACAGTTTATATGTAACAGCAATGTAACTACAATATAATGACATAGTATTTACGTTTGTATTTACACGTGTGCTGTGTTTATTCATGTATGCAACTATAAATAACAAAATACTGTACATGTAATATAAAAATATTTACATTTTTAAAAATAATCTTGGATGTAACTGCAATGCAATTACAATGTAATGACAGTAATTGCACACAAGATAAAAGTTTGTAATTACATATAGCATGTGTACAGTGTAAATGTAACCATAACAAACAAATACTGTCCATGAAATTTACAAAACACGTTTACAATACTATCATAGAAGTATTTACAATGTTATAACAATGTAGTTACAGTGTTATAACAACGTTATTATAATATAGTTACATTGTTTTAACATTGTACTTACATTGGTATAACGCTGTAACTACATTGTTACAACACTCTAATTACAATGGTAAAACATCGTAATTACATGGCTATTACAATGTAATTAGATTGATGTAATGCCATAGTTACAATGTTATGACGCTGTAGTTACAATTTTAAAACAATGTAATTACTGTGTTTTAACAATGTAGTTACCGTGTAATGTATGGAACAAAATCAATGGCAAAAGTGTTGACTTAAAAAGCTTGTCGAACAGCACAAACTGAAAAAATAATACACCAAAATGACTTGAATTCCAGGTTTTGTACCTATTTTTAGGACCTAAAAATACAAAACCTGGAATTCAAGTCATTAAAATGCAAGAACTTGTTAATTCGGTGTATTATTTTTTTTCAGTTTGTGCTATTCAACAAGGTTTTGAATTCAATACTTTTGGCATTGATTTGTTCCATAGTAATGACAGTATTATAA